GTATACGACGAACCCATATACATAAGCGACGTAAATACCTTGGCATTCCGCGATGTTGAGGCAATATGGAGTACCAACTTCCTACGGCCATACATGCCGCTCGTATTCCGATAGCGTGCCAAAATGTGGGAAATGCAGATAGAGCTGTTAACCCCCCCCCCCCCCTGCACTTGCCTTTGCGCGCGGCGCGGCCTTTGGGCGGTTCATAGACTCCGAATGCGGAAGATGAAAACTTGTTGATAGGACGGAGAACGATCTTTTCACGTTCTCGCGGAAACAGGAACAAACGAGATCAAGAAGAGTTTTCCAGCATAACTGGATAAAATCTCTCCTTACGTTTCATCTTTTTTTTACAATTGCATGCAGGAGGATGCTGTTTCTGCATTCGTAAGATTCTCCCCCAAGATTTTGCTCCTCGCCCGAAGATTCGAGAGCTGACTATTCCCTTCACGTGAATATATGTTCCGCGAAATGAGATTTTTCACACCGGACTAACAGACTTAGATAACAGGTGCACGTCGTAACTATCATTTTCTGGCGGCCAGAAAATCTCGTAGGCTCTCGCCGACGTGCACCAAGAGGCGAAGGCTACTTCTCTCCGGCAGAAGACTAGAAATTGATAGAACAATCTAGCTCGACGCGCAGAGTGCTATCGACGTCTAAAATAGCGCCAATATCTCACTGTAAAATTCATTGTTTTATTAAAAATACGAAGTTTTCACATAACACGAGGTCAGCAGGACCTCGAGGAGTCAGCATACTAAGAAATCGACTTTTATTCTTCTTTAGGACAGTTCAAAACTTTATATACTGGATTTGCGTTGTAAAATCAAACATATATGCATACAAAGTTCTATATTTTGTCGGTAAATATTTCTTAGATATTTGAAAGATTTATTTACGCAGCGTTTTCCACGTCATTTTCCAAGAACACTCTTCCCCCGAATATTTCAGAGAAATTCTGTCTTCATACACAGAAATAAAAAATATTCTTGATTTGAAAATATCTTTGGTTTCAACGTGGAAACTTTGAAATAAGATTATATTGCGTTAAACAAAAAAAACTTGCTTTTTAATAAAGTATTTTATATTCAACCACAAGAAAAAAAAGTTGAGATTCTTATAAGAAGATTATAGATTGTTGCGTGTATAAGAGTATATATAAGTTTTAATTTAACACTTTTGCTTCCTCATAGAGGAAGCTTTGTTTTCGTGAAAAAAATTTTTTTTTCAAGTATCTTTGGCAAAGTGTTTAGAATGTTCTAAAACGTCGAAAAATCACTTTTGTACAAAATGTCCGTGTGTATGTGTGTGTGTATGTATGTACGCTTTTGTTGTCCGTATATGTTCCAACTTCCGTAATTTTTGAGATATCGGGATGTTTTTTTTTTAATCGATAGAGTATTATTCAAGGAAGGTTGGTATTGAATTTGGCGATGTGATCGGTAAAGGGGTTCTTTTTTTAAAAAATTTTGATTTTTTTTAGAAATGTCCGTGGTTGCTCCAACTTCCGCAAATTTGGAGATATCGATCTATTTCTAATTTTATTATATTTCAGTCTTTTCTAACCCTATTTCATATATAATTTTTTAAGATTTGGTTAATTAGATCCAGCTTTATACGCGATCAAAGGTCCATAATTTCGCTTGCATATACAGCTAAGTCTAATCAACCGAATTTAAAAGAATTATATATGAAATAGGGGTAGAAAAGACCGAAGTAAAAATTGTTTGTTGAGTTTTTGATGCCAATGTGTTGCTTATGTTCGAAAACGTCGAAAAATCGTAGAGTATCGTTAAAGGTAGGTTGGTGTTGAATTATCTTTTTTTTTTGTTTGTGATATAACTTCCGTAATTTTTGAGATAATGGGATGTTTTTTTTTAATTGATAGAGTATCATTCAAGGAAGGTTGGTATTGAAGTTGGCGATAATCAATAAAGAGGTTCTTTTTAAAAAAAATTTTGAATTTTTTTAGAAATGTCCGTGATTGCTTCGGACTTCCGCAAGATTGCAATGGAAATGTCGATATATTTCTAATTTTATTATATTTTTCAGTCTTTTCTACCCATATTTTATATATAATTTTTTAAGCTGGTTACCTGGCTGGTTACCTGGCTTCGCCCGGGAGTTGTTTTTCTTAAAACGACTTCATTTGTATTTCAATATCCTTATTGTGGACAAACATAAGGAGTGTGTCGGGTGGTTGATTTAAAGATGGTAGTTTAACTTTTCCGCATAAATAACACATTCTAAGGGCTTAAGTTTTAAACTTTTTTGCTCAACAATGATCACATATTGGATCTATTTGCCCAATTCCCATACAGTTTGTAATAGTATAACAGATATTAATCGCAATAAAGCTTATCACGATAAAAAAAAGTGTGCGAGTAGAAACTTGCACATTGCTTCCTCATAGTTTTTAAGTGTGCAAGTAGCAACCTGCACATTGCTTCCTCATAGTTTTTAAGTGTGCAAGTAGAAACCTTCGCTCACAAAGCTTCCTCTATGAGGAAGCCAAAACAAATAAATACTAATAATTATACATCGAATTAAATCAAGGCTTCCTCATAGAGGAGCTTTGTGAGCGAAGGTTTCTACTTGCACACTTGAAAACTATGAGGAAGCAATGTGCAAGTTTCTACTTGCATACTTAAAAACTATAAGGAAGCAATGTGTAGGTTTCTACCTGCACACTTAAAAACTATGAGGAAGCAATGTGCAAGTTTCTACTTTTTTCTGTGTAAACAATGCTACTGCCATTCCTTATTATTTCCTATAATTGAGAGTCCGCTAATCTTACTTCTTTGTTCGAAAACAATATTTTTCTTTCTTCTCTGATTCAGTTCATCTCGCAATATCACGTAGGTTAAGTAAACGATTAGACTCTCCCCTGAACGTAAAAGAAATCTTTGCGTGCCTTCGTGGCTGTTTCTTCAAGATACGATAACAGTCCCTTTCTCCTCCGCGAGCATTGTATTCAGTTCGTGAGGTTTTTTTTTGTTATCTAAGCAAAGCATATATACACCCAAACGATTTATAGTAGCAATACTCGATAAACCGCTACAGCAAGGATAAGGGTGGCCTAACAAAAGCCAGATAAAATAGATCGGAAAAAAAATCTCCCGAACTCCCCGATATCTCTGCAACAGATATCGAGAAGATTAATGAAAATCCTATCTGCTGCGGATCGCGACTTGAAGATGGCGAAAAGATACTCGAAAACAAGCCGACTCCAAGTTTACGGTCAAACTATTTCACATAAAATATATATAGGCATGTTCTCTCCTAAATAAACGCTATATATTTGACTAGAATGTTAATTTAAGAGCGAAACACGTGTCAATTTAATTGATAAAGTTTAACAATTACGGCAATTCGATTAGAGGAATCTTCGTACCGCCGCAGGAGATTAATTGCATTTCGTAATTCGTGCTACGCCCTAACCCTAACCACGCCAGCTGGGCAAGCCAGAGCAAGCCTTTACGCGCGCACATTATCCCGCATTATCTGTCCCTGACGTTTGCCGATATCGCAAATTCTCGATAATCTACCGTCCGCTATTATTGCACCTAGATTTCGATCACGGACAATATCCCTGTAGTGTTTTTTTTTTTTTTTTTCACAGACACAGTACAATTAGCATTTGTGCAATTGTGCCTTAGAGTGGCTTTAGAGTCTTAGACTAAAAAAAAAGACAAAAGGAAGCGATACGATCTTAAAAAGAATTCGGAATGTGTCTGCAAAGAATTCTAGAGAAATTAAAAGTTTGTCGAAAGGAATCTTGAAAATCGACAACGACTATTCGAAGATATTTTTCCCTTTTAGAAGAAAACTGTCGCAAATATTTATTTGAAATTTATGTAATTCACCAAAATCAACATTCGGTAAAAACAGGAAATTAGGAACGGAGTCTGGCAGGTTTACCGTACTTTAAGTAGCTCTTTTACATAATGTCATTTAAGGCGTTTTTAGCATCACCGAGAAAAAGATACTGAGATAACTCTCTGGCGGCTATGAATTATACACTGCATATGGGAAAACCTTTCTCACATTTTCTTCGTCCCTCGAGGTAGACACATTAAATATTAATGAGAAAAGTGATAACGCAGCTAAAATATCAGTGTAGCCGAATATGATACGCGGTGTAACATTTTATTTTATTTTATACGATGTAATATATATTTATATATATTTCTCTCTGTGTCAAATTATAATCTTTATTATATAAAATATAATAATAAATTTATATAGTAAAAATATACTTTGCTGTTATATTCTACATAAAATGCATTATAATAAATCATATCCGTGAAACAGATATTCCTTCGAGCACAACGCGTAAAAATATTCAACGTCACGACATTGTTCACCGCCTCGCAAAATAATTTGAATCCCAAGGGTAACCGAGTAAATCCGACAATTGAACGAAGCGAAGAAATTCGATTCTTGCGAAGTGTCTCCGTGCGCTGCGGGCAACGGCAGCAATTCCATGTCTCTGACGAGGCGCGAACGTCGCGCCAACTGATTCCCGGCGCGTGCAAATCGTACGTTGTAACCGGAGCTACGGGCTACCGGCGGCTATCGATTCCAAACTCACCAACGAGCGACGAGCGCACCTCGCATTCCAACGCGAGAAACATAAAAATCGCTCGTCATTCGGTATTTCCCGATATAACGAATCGTCGAAGCACTCGTCAGAGATGACAGCGACATATATATTGATGAATTGTTGCATGACAAGACCTTCCTGATTGTATTTCGCTATAACTCTATTACCTGCACGCATCAGTGACGCTCGAATGTAAGAACAAAAAAAAACATGCTCCACAATAGAATCTCTCTTCAATTAAAATTACATTTTATTCTCTGTTTCGTCTTCCCTGATGTTTCGCTCAATTCACGACTATGCTCGACTTGGCAAAGGCGCGTTACATACCGAATAGGGATCAGAATGTATATCGAGGTCTGAAAAGTCAGTTCAAAGGTGCGTTTCCATTCAGTTGCAGAACAAAGGGAAAATGTCGGCCGAGGTGAGAGCTGGTCGACCTACCATGCCCACGATTCCGCACTCCAAAAGGCCTACAATCTTGGTATATCCGACGGGTAAGGACACAAGTACCATGTTTTTAATTCTCTAATTCTCAGCCTGAATTACGCCGAAACTAAGTTCCACACTTTGTTACAAGAAAATACACCGGCACGGCGCGAGCGGCTCGTATCACGTATTATCTTGAGTGGCGCCAGTTTCATTTTGAAGACACGGTATATTAACTGCGCGAAGGGGTTGACGTTTAATTAGACGCTTGTACGAAGTATTAGATCGCGCCCGCGGCGATGTTAAATTGCAAACGAGTAGCTGGAGCGGAGGGATTTAAAGAGGCGGAGAGAGACGGCGGATTGATAATGTAATTAGTCTCAGCCGTTCGCCCGTTATACGGCTTGCTACGAATTAGGAGAAACACGAATCCACTAACAAGTGTTAGCGGTGTGATAATACAATAACGCAGCACTGTTATCCGATCGTTTGCCGATCAAAGGCTTTGCCTGCTTTAATTACTGATGTTTGCCTCCATTGTGCGATGACTGCAGATCATATACCGACATCTCTGAAGTAAAGGGATTCTACTCTCAAAGTAATTTGGAAATGATTTTTTTTTGCGCAATTAATGCAACTTAAGAGATTAGCAATTAATAGACCATTGATATTTAATGAACTTAGGGAGCATCTATTCAAGGGGTAAAGTACTTCGGCGAAACGACGTAGCTATTTGCGTCACGGTTTTCTGTTGGATTAATTAGTTGACGTTAAAACTTTGTACGTCTATGAACTTTGCGCAATCTGCAATCGGTGCTTCATTCAAATCCTCACAATAGCTGTAATTTGCAGCTACAGGACAACTGCCTTCGAAAAACAGCTCGCGCACGTCGATCTAAAAACAAATCCTTAGCTTCATGAAACACGAACGACAATATGCGAAACGCGACGAGCACACAATACAAGAAACACGTCGAGCATTACAATAAGCGAAATATGGAATATCCAATTTTGTTCACAGAATATGATATTTATAATTTTTAGAGAAAATTGTACATACATTAAAAGCAATATTCCTTAGTAATCTCTTAAATAAACCGTACAATGAATAAATTAATAATAAATAACATATTGCACATGCAGCAATTAATAAATTAAAATTTGTCTTTCGATTATTTACAATAAGAGCAATTTAATGGAGTCAAAAGTTGTATCTGGTCTAAAAGTTGTGTTGTATCTCGTTTTCTAGAAGTTGCGCTATCTTGATTAAAAGTTCTTCAAAAGAACCTGGCTTTTCTTTGCGTCGTGTAGGTAGAACAGCATACTGTAAAAGCTAAATTCAAGCTCTACGTATTACATACTAAGATAACGCTTAATCCGAAAGAGAACTGGGACGCTTTTATATTGAGAAATGTCGACATTACTACATTATGCCTCATGCAAAAGTTTTAATCGAACAGTCCTGTCGTAGTTGAGAGAAAGTCAGGATTTAAGTTCTTTTAAATACGGACTGAAAGTCCAATCAGTGCCCATCTTAAGCCCCCGTCTTATAATACCCATTAATTCGATTCAAGTAACCAACTTCGCTCTTATTACACGCTTGAAAATTTCATGAACTGACAAACTTTCGAGAAGTGCATGCCCTTTTTGTCCAGTGATATAAAATCCGCTTCGTGACCCGGAATAATCACTGTCTAAGTGGCATATGCGCTTCATTAAAGATTCATGCACATATAGATAACAAAAATAAAAATAAAACTACGTAGCTTTTTGTGTACAAAGTCATATTTAAGTGCCTAGTAAATCTAAATTGACATATCACCAATTAAATGAATTCAAACAATTTGATACGAGATCGTACAAACAATTGTGATGTTATAAAAAAAATAATCCTACAAAAACGGGACATTCCGAAAAAAATCGCACCGTTAGTGTTCTAAACTTTTATGCTGAATAATAAAAACACCTCATCAAAAAACATTGTTTAAGTTATTAAAAGCTTCAACAATTACATCGTTGAAAAAGATAACACTTTACATTTGTACCGCGGGAGAGTTATATACGCGTGATGGCAATAAAACAAAATTATTACTAATTCACCAAAGCCCTAGCTAACGTGACCAATTTGCATCTTTTAGTTACGCCAGAGAGCATAATCATCCCCATCGTGTCCTGTATTCTGGGGTTTCCATTGCTGGCGTTGATGGTAATTTGCTGCCTACGGAGGAGAGCGAAACTCGCCAGGGAACGAGCCCGGCGAAGAAACTGTGATTTGGATCATGGCGCATTGAGCCTTGTCCGTTTCAGCCCGGTTCATCGCCTAGGTGAGCACCCACCGAGTTTAAAAGTGAAACTGGGACAGGCGCACACGCGGAACATATTTCGCTGTGTGAATAGGAACACTGAATAGAAACCAAATCGCTCGTGCAAAATTAAATATGCGATGCTAATCAACCGGATAGAACATGCGGTTGCGGGAAAATAATTAGACGTACCACGATATATGTCGCGAGGGTTTTCACTCTGTTGAAATTAATTTCATGAAATACGGTATCTGATATAAATTGCTTTAAAAATAAAATTAAAATATAAAATAATATATATTACAGTTGTCTTGATAAAATAAGTAACAGTACAACTTGTCAATATTTATAACGGCGTGACATTTATTTGAAGATGTCGTAAATTTAAATCACATATTTATATAGAGAAAATAAAACACAACACCGTTTGCTCTAATTTTTTTTTGTTTTAATAGCGACTGCGCTTTCTACCTCTCTCTCTCTCTCTCTCTCTCTCTCTCTCTCTCTCTCTCTCTCTCTCTCTCTCTCTCTCTCTCTCTCTCTCTTTCTCTCTACATTTTTTTCCACGACTTCCTGACGGAATACATGCATAACACGCAGGTACTCTCTCGTGACGGCATACAAATGCACTCGTATAGAGGTAATACCGGTCATACGCGACCATTGGAATAAACATAAAGAGGACGAAAGAGGCTCTTCGCCAGATTCAATTCCGGTCTGAACATTCGAATTCCCATGCACTAACAGTCGATATTTTTAGCTTGAAACTATGGCAGGCGCGCGTTTGTATAGCCTATTCGAAAGCGAATACTCGAAAAATTTCCAGTTGAACCCTCGCTCTTTTTAGCGCAAGATAATCCGGATATACAATAAATTGCTCCGCAAAAAAGAACGCGTGAAAGATGCATGAAATATTATTTCTGGATTGAAATCAGGTCGAATTATTTACCGATATCGAAACGCTATGACATTCGCATGCAAAATAATCGTAAAAAAAAATCACGGAGGTCATGCAAACCACTTGGATGAATTTTTTACGACAAGAAGAAATTAATTTCTTATCAGGAGAAACCGCAGCACGCGATATCGCAACGCGGAAATGGATCTATCGTACACGTAGTATCAAAAATTGGATCTTACATCGTTCATTGATAATCCATTTCCGCGGAGTGCAACGCGGTGCATAAAATATGGCGCTCTCTCTCTGGAGCGCCGTTTCTCCCGTATATATATATACCGCGCGACACCCTATCCGGACGCGATTTTATGTGTGCATGTGAATTTCCGCGCGGTCGGAATATGCATCGCGGATGACCACGTTATTATCTCTACCTCTCCGTTCAATATTTTTAAATTTGCCTTACATCGAAAAATTTTTATTAATCTGGTGTCCGATATTTTTTGCGGTGAGAATACGGCGGAGCAGCAGCAAATACATATACGGCGATAAACGTCATTTTCGCGTAAGACTATTTACATCGTTAATATACCTCAACATGGTCCATTTACATATTGTTTGCGGAAGTATTGTATCGGTAAACAATCGCGTAGATCGATAAACTAATTTATTCGCGATATCGTCACATTAAATCGCCTGCATAATACTACAACGTATAAAATTAATCATACGTCAATATATCACGCACGTGTGTTGTATAAATTATTTTATTTAATTCAGAATTGTGATAGACAATCTGGTATAGAGAAGGACCGTAAATCCTTTTCACTTATTAATATATAGAGATTATTATTTTAATTAATGGGTGATACATCCAGCAAATGAACGTAATTAACAAAACTATCTGAACTTGTAATATAATAACGTATAATAATATTTTACACAAATAATGCGTCATTAAACATCCCCAAAATTTGCCTAAGTACATTTAATAGAAACATAATATGATTCGGAATTATTTATAGAATATATATATCTTTATAATTTTTATTACATAAACTGTTGCATATATATTTTTATTATTAACTTGATATACCTGCATTTTCAGAATTTCTCAGCGTAATTTAAAGCTCGAGATATAGTAATATGTTCCTGCTACTATTAGAAAGAATCTTTTATAATACAATGTCAAAAACATAAAATATTATTAAAAATAACGTAAAACTTTTAATTAAATTCTTAACAAATTCTTTCTCAATATACATGCTGATTTAACGCGATCTCTCTGTGCGTATCGACTACCACAAAATAAATGGCAAAATTTTAAAGCCGACGCAATGTACTTGATGAGTGCGAAAGCGTGGATTTATTTCTTCACGTATAGTATTAGTACGGTCTCTCTCTCTCTCTCTCTCTCTCTCTCTCTCTCTCTCTTTCTCTCTCAATAGTTAACAAAAAAGTTTTTTATGTTGCTCGTCCCCGTGGACGAGCCACCACGTAAGGCATTGTGTCCGTTGCGATCACCATAAACCCTTAATTTACGACAATCCAGTCAACACCAGATAGTAGACGGTCGTTTTAGATCACTATTTAGTGCACACAGTAGTCGAGGCATGAAATTTACCGTCCGCAATATTCGTCTTCCAAACAAGAGATTGCCCGCCGAAAAACAGAAGATAAATGCCCCATGAATATCACATGAGTAGTGTACAAATTTAACTCTATCAAGCTTTTTTCGGTAGCTATTAATTTTCAGAGATATGAAAAAGAAGATAAATGACACGCATCATCATATGCATAAGAAATTTTATCTGTATATTTTTTGAGAAATTTAAAGTTAATTCTTTTTCGGTAAAAGGTTAAATATTTGTTTTTACATTATTTTATAACTTTTACATTGACTATCTTAATGATTGAATCTCGAATTAATTAAAGTAAAGTTAAATATAAATTAAAAGTTGAATGAAAAATAAGATTTTATTATCTGTTCGAGTTCTTGGTCTCTTATTTGCATAAAGAGCAAAGAGAAAAATGATTGCTTTTTATAAGCGCTTATAATTTTAAAACTCTCCATGTTTTATTTTTGCATTTTTATCAAAAGAAGATTGGCTATAAATTCCACAAAAAATTCAAAGGTCAATTGAAAGTTTGCCGAAAATATCATCGAAGCCAGAATATACGCTTTCGTGCAGATCGTGATATTATTAATTGTTTTGTTCTCTCTTATTTCAGTATCTCTTTGCAATTAAAATTTATTTCTACGGGCGAGAATGCAATTTATGCGTGCGCCGCAACATGCGAAAAATGAACAAAAAGTTTTAAACAGCAGAGAGAAATTAAATCCATTTATTATTATTATATCAGGAAACTCCCTAATTCCGGTTAAAGAGGATTAAATTTTACACACACCGTAAATCAGTTATCTAAACTTACCCGTTGAAAGTAACTTTTGTTTCATGTGAAGGAATGCATGTATATTTAGAATAAAATTTTACCGTACAAAATTAATCCGCACTGAAAGGTTTATTTGTGTTGGCAAGCGCAGCATCAAAAGAGGATTTAGGTAAAATATCATGTAGTTAATAGCATCGCTCAATTTCTAGAAATTTGACCGATATTTTACGAAAATTAGCAATTTCTTTAGCATTTGAAAAAAGAACAGATTTTTTTAAATATAAAATGTGCCAGCGCTTGTGGCTTGTCGTATCATACTATAGGATTTAATCGAAATCAAATTAAAACATAATTAGGTTTGTACAAGAATGAGATATAATATTATTTAGAACGCGATTATATTTTTATTGAAAACATTTAAATACAGATAGTGTGTATTGAGATACTTCACTGATTTTTACTTTTATTTTGTGAAAATATAGGCTCAACGCAACTTTTTTTTGTTCTTAGATTTAAAAAATGAGATAAAAGCTATGTTAGATTTGCATGGTTCGTTTAAATTAGCTTAGAGCCAGTGTAGGAATCTTAGAGATTCTCGTAGTTGATTTAAGTAGAAATTTCCGATGTCGAGAGCTTTGTCAATCGACCGGTGAATATTCTTGAAATTCTCGATGATTGCGATCAGAGCAAACAAAGCGAATAAAAAGAAGGAACATATTTTAATTTGTGACACATTAAACGCATTCGCGTCTTTAATCGTCATAAATAATTGATTCTGAAGTCGATGAAACTTGCAAGCGACAGCGCGAATGTGTAGTTAATAATATTTTTTTATTTATTTATTATGCGACTTACATGTCGTCGACATTCCCGCAGCTGGCGTCGATCGACCGGCACGTACGGTGTCCTTAAGGAGCGATAGAGGATCCCGAGCTTTCTCATCCCTGGAGCTGGACACCGTCGTCGAGGAGCGTTCAGATCCAGAGCAGAGCACGGCCCTCGAATTAAGTAGTCCTGACTAGCATCCGGACTTGGCACCGTCGAGGTAATAACGATGAGATACGTTAACATTACCCGCCTCACTCACTTTCTTATAAAGATAGGAGGAAAATTATATTATACATATAGTCGCCGATTACACAATACGAATCTAATTTCCAATCAATATTTCTTTCACAATGCAATTTTAAAATTAATGAAAAAGAAATGTCTCATCGATGTGAACAATTATAGAGAAAATAATTACATCAAGCTCGAACAGCTGTGTTGTATTGCATCAATAACTGTATAGAAGCTGCTTTCAATTTACGGATTACGCGGCTAATACGTCGTTAAATCGGACTGTCCGTTAATTAGCGGCAACCACAACGCGGATTCGATATTTTCTGATCGCGTACAATCGGATAAAAGACTACGAAGACATACAAAATGGCTATTTATTTTTCATCTATATTCTATGATGTAATAAGTCTCAAATTAATTTTAAATAATTTGCAGAAACGTTTTCTCATAATACACTGTTTTCTTTAAAGTTAATTAAAAAAATAACAAACCGTTATTTTTGTACGTGAAAGTTGTATTAAAACCAATCGCATCACTTGAAAGATGATTCGAACAAAGCTATGTGCATTAACAAGTGTACACTAACTCAATCTGGATCGCGGTGAAATAAATGGCTTCATTAAAATGACAAACATCAGACTACTCGTTAATTAGCGATACCAACCATTTGATTGATTTTGATATTTTTCGCGAAGAACGCGCACGATTAATTAAAAGACTGCGAAAACGTATGGAGTGACTACGGCCTATTTTTCACATGCCTCATGCAATAAAAGTTTTTAATTAACTTCAAGTCGATATTTCTTTCGCGGAGAAGAGAAGAGAGAAAGAAAAGAATAAAATAACTAATCACTTAAATTTTTATACTAAATTATAGCGGATTTTTTTCGCATAAAAAGGAAAAAAAGAAAATATACGATTTTAAAATCAATAAAGAAGAAAAAGTAACCAACTACATAAATTTTTGTACTAAAAGCATTCATACTAAACGAGAGATAGTTCGAACGGAGGAGCTATGTGCATTAACAAATGTATGTATATATACAAGTTCCATTCGGTTCGCAAATCAAATGATTAATATTACGTTAAAGAGAGCAACAGAAAAGCACTAATTACATAAATAATTGTACTGAAATTAATCGTGTTAGTCGAGAAATAATTCGAACACAGCGGAACTATGTAGGTTAATAACAGTATATAAGCTTCATCCAATTTGCAAATTAAATGAGTGCTATTACGATAAAGCAACTGAAAAATAGCTAATTGACTACATAAATACTTGTATTAAAATTAATCGCGTCAATCAAAAAGTAATTCGAAATGAACCCATGTACGTTAATAATAGTATACATACTCCATCCAATTTACAGAATAAATTATTAATATTACATTAAAAACAATAAAAAAAAGCTAATTTCTTTAATAAATTTTTGTACTAAAAGCACTCATACCAAACGAGAGATAATTCGAATAGAGCTATGTGCATTAACAAATATATACAAGCTCCATTTGATTCGCAAATTAAACGATTAATATTACGAAGTAATTAAAAACTAACTAATTAGGTAAAAAAAATAGCAAATTACGTAAACACTTATACTTTATACTAAAATTAAATATCAATCAAAAAATAATGCACACGGTAGAGTTGTGCGCATTAATAACAGTATATGCACTCTACTCGATTTATAGATTAAATTAATACTACATTAAAGCAACGAAAAAAAAGATAGCTAACTAAATCTTTGTATTAAAAGTAGTCATGTCAAACAAGAGATGAGCTGAGCAGTGGAACTATATATGTATATGCGATAACACATGTGTGCTAGCTCCAATCAATTCGCATATCAAATAACGAATACTAATGTTAAACCGACAAAAACCAAATTGCTAATTACTAATTAATGGTAAAACGACGCTGGCACGCTCGAAGTTTTCCATAAAAAAACGCGCAGAAATGGATGAAAAAACCGATAATGTATGGAGTTTCTGCTTATTTCATATCCTACGTAATAAAAATCTGTAATTAACTTTGAATTGATATTTATTTTATAAAAGTAAATAGTTCTAAATTTTATTAGTAATTATTTGAATCTCAGCACTAAAATCGCGAAATTGAAAGATGATTCGAAAGGTAAAGTTCTATACATTAATAATTATATACGACCTCCACCCGATTCACGGATTAAACGACTGATATCTCATTAATACTATACGACAAAAACGATACTGCCCGCTAATTAACGGAAACGCGATACAATCGAAATTGATATATTCTGCAACGAACACACGTGAGTGAGTAAAAGATTACAAAAAACTACGAATTATTGAATAAAACTATGTTTTTCTCCCCAGCTAACAATTTTTCTGTAGCTCTTTTTTTCTTGCGTTTTTTTACACACTGAATTCATTCGAATTACGTATATATGAGTAATCCTACGTGCGAGAGACGGTGCTAGTCGGACAGCAGTTACACCTGAAATCACAATTAAAACATTTATAATTAAAATCCATTTATAAATAAAAGTTATAATTAAAACGTATTATTAGGCATCAGATTAGAATTTTCTTCTTTTTCTCCTTTTTTACTGACGCCAAAAATTTTTCGTACAAGACAATTTCTCACTTTTCTCAATCCTCTCATATTAACGTGCAATGAAAATTTCTGATTAATTTCTAGTCATTTCTTTTGCAAGAGCGCAATTTTAAAATTAATAAAAGAATATCTCACGTATGGCCTTCATGCCGAAGTCAATCGAAAAGCGATTCGAACAATGGTGCCTATATATATGTTCACTAATAACTGGTATAAATTCCAAAAAAACTCACAGATAATTCATTGAACCGAGGAAAATCGAGTTGCCTGCTAGTGACTATATTGACACGATTCAAGACGCGATATTTCTCGAAAGAAATAAAGAACCACGAAGACTCGCGAGCGTCACACAAAACCACATTTTGCTTTTTTTCCTTTGTTTCTAACACCCTAAAATCCAAATTACACTGTTAAATTTATAGTATTGAATTATACTCAATTTGAGTAATTTGAGTAACCATTCTTATAGGCTGTTACTGCGTTTACTCAATATGTCGTGAATTTAATTAGAACAATGTTAATAATTAACTAAACTAATAAAGTTAACAATACTGTTTTGTTAAAATAATAAATTTTGACACACATGGTGATTAAAAATAACAAAATGTTATTTAATTCTAGGTATTGCTTTAAATTTTATCAAATTAAATTTAATATTTAACAATAATGGGAAATTTTCTTCGCCAGTGAATATAAAATAATATCACCAAACTTCCTTGACCACAACTGGAAAATTTATTAATAATAAAACACAACGTTTTGGTCCAAATTCAGACTCTCTTTAATATTTAACAGTGTAAATCGTATCTGATCGATTGACAATTGTACGTAAGAGCTAAAACGCTATAATGACGTCGCGTCAGGACACATTACGATTTATTTCTCCCTCCCCCCCTCCCTTTTCGTAGTGTAAATTTTCCTGAAATATATGGAATGTATGGAAGGATCTTTTATCTCTCATTCGTTCTCACGTTCTCAATCAGGCTAATGCAATCCGCGTCGATGTTTCTTTCGGAAGTGCAATTCTAAGAAATTCTAAAAATTAAATAAAAGAATATCTTACCCGTGATGCCGAAAACCGTCGCGCCAATCGACAGACAATACGAATGATGACGCCCTATGTTCTCTAACAACAGCGTACGAGCTTTGAAAAATATCCGCGTTTTATTCGTTGGACCGAGGGAAAAATCGAACTGCCCGTTAATTAGTGGCACCCGCAACGCGATTCAACTCTATATGTTTCGCGAAAAAACACGTGCACGATCGGATTAAAAACCGCGAAAATTCGCGAGCGTCATACGAAACTACGTTTCTCTTCGAGTTTCTTTTTCTCTTTCCTTGTTTCCGTTAGCAATCTGAATTTATCCGAATTAGCCGAATCGTATGATACAAGGGAAACGCGCTGATTGGACGACGATTGTATCTAACAATAAAATAATTACGGCAATGAAACGGCGCCGGAATACCTTAGAAGTTTTCCTCCCAACTGTCCTTCAATTCTGACATCACAAATGTTTTCTAAGGCCGGGATGATTTTATTTTTTATCCGTACTTATTTAATGAGAGCAATAAGGATTTCAGTTGATGTCTTTCTTTGATGGCAATGCGGTTCTAAAAAAAATTAATAGATCCTAGGAAGAGTTTTTTTCTTCTCCCTCTTCTTTTCTAGCTTCACAAATATTCTCGAAGAGAATAATAACCGAGATAAGATTTTTTATTTCTTATCCATACTTATTCAATGAGAGCAATGAGGTTCTCGTCGGTTTTTCTTCTTTTAACAGGAAAACACGGTTCTAAAAAATTAATAAAAAGTTTTCCTAGAAAGAGTTTTCTTCCTTCTTTTTCTTTTCAATGTCACAAATATTCTCGAAAAATCCAGGGGTGATTTTTTATTTTTTTTTATCTATATACTTATTTAATAAGAGCAATGAGATTCTCGATGTTTTTTTTTTTTGGACGGAAATACGATTCTAAAATTAATTGAAAGTTTTCCTACCTCCCTTTTCTTTCTAGCGTCACAAATATTCTCGAAGACCGAAAGAGTGATTTTTTTTATTTCTTATCTATAATATACTTATTCAATAAGTGCAATAAGATTCTAGTCGATGTTTTTCTTTATTTGGCAGGAAAATATGGTTCTAAAATTAATAGAAAGAGATATCTCACCTGTGCGCCTCGAGTCGAAGACAATCGCGTTAATCGGCGTGGATTCGAATTAACAACCGAGCTAGATGCATATACGAGCTTCAACCGACTCACGAAAGCGATCGACGCTTCCGTCAGGTCGATGAAAATCAGACTAAACCAGTAACCGCTGTTCAACGGCACTCGTGATCTGCCGCGATCCCTGGACGCGATCAGACTCGATATATCGCGAAAAGAATGCGTGCGACCGGATAAAGATGGCGGAAATTTGCACAGCGCTACGCTTTACCTTTCCATCTTGTGTCCGCGAGCAATCTGAATTTATCCGAATTACGCGAGTCGCGCGAGAAGCGCGCTGATTGAACGACGCTTGCAGCTAAGATAATCTCGACAAAAAAAGTGGCGCCGGAATGTTAATAGTTTTCCCTCCCCCCCTCTTCTTTCTAGGGCCACTATTTCCAACGTCTGTTAACTTCTAACTCACTGTTAATTAACTTTCAATATAACCATCGCAACTTCTATTATAGCTATTCCGAAAAGTTAACGGTCAGGTAAAAGTTAACAGAGGTTGGAAATAGTGGCCCTTATCGTCATAAATATTCTCGAAGACCGAAATGATTTTTTATTTCTTATTCAATAAGAACATAACGATGAGACTCCAGTCGGTTTTTTTCTTTTTTAACAGGAAAATATGGTTCTAAAATAAAAAGAGATATCTCACCTGTGAGCCTCGAGCCGAAGGCAATCACAATCGACGTCGATTCGAATTAACAGCCGAGCTAGATGCATTAGCGATCACATACGAGCTTCAACCGATTCACAAAAGCGATCGATGCTTCGTCAGATCGATGAAAATCGAGCCAGCCGCTGCTCAACGGCACTCGCGATGCGATCAGACTCGATATTTCGCGAAGAGAACGCGAACGATCGGGTAAAAACTCGCGAGAAAGCGCCAGCGTCACACAAAACGTGTCTCTCCTCTCGCTTCTCCGCCGTTCATCGACGAATTGAACATTTTTTCGTCTAGCACGTAACGTACTACAGGGGCACGCTGATTGGTCGACGCGATTGCGATTAATTTAAGTTCACATGGCAGTTGAAGTATTGGAAAGGGCGCAATTTTTAATCCAAATTATTCACTTACATGTAAAAATAGAGTAAAAATTCTTCAGCGCGGAATTCCTTTATCGAATAAAAAAATTTCGATACACGCTGGCTTCTATCGCTCACCTGACGAATATTCATCAGATCCATCAAATTCCATAACCGATAGATATTGATGATATTTCCGATGCATCTCTTTTGTTAGTGAAATATTTTTGCCGATAGCACATAAAAGAAAGCGAGGATAACAGGATATAAAATAGAACAAGAGATTAAAACATATGTATAAAAATGAAAAGTAAGAGACGAATGAAATTGTAAAATAACGTAAAATATAGAGTAACCGAGACGTACAAACCAAAATTGTTTATAAAATATTTATTTGTGAGATTTTTAAAGGAATATCTGCACTATTTGAGATGGCGACTTATTAGCATGTCGAAACTAATTTAACTTTTCCGTAATGAATATGTTAATCAGTCAATGTGTCTTGCAGATGTGGTTGCATTATTCCCTGTTCTTGCAGGTCCCCACGACCATCGAAATCCTTGGCGGTGCCGTTGCCTGTGGATCACAGCCCGTTATGGACAGCTTTGACACACGCTAATGCGGTCTCCGCGGCGTTAGGAGATACCTAGCAGGAGGTGGAAGACGGCAGCTTAATCGAAGCTCTCGTCCTGGATCTGCCAATCATTTACTGACCGGCCTCACTGAAAATAGACGTCTTAATGGAGCACCGGAAGGAAGCTGGACGTCCTTACTCAAGCACTACCATATCGCGATGAAGATCGCGCGAAATATCAGAAGAAAAAAATACAATACCTCTGTGTCGAGAGAGAAGTAAATAAAACAAGTTTACAAAACAAAGCGATGTTCGCAAAGTAGAGCATCGTACGATCCTTTTGTGTGAATGTGTGTGCGTATGTATGTATGTATGCGGCGACTAAACAAACTTGCGACCGAAATTTTATACCATTTGCTCGCGATTTACCTGCGAGTAGAGCTTTTTACACGACAGTTACAATCCAAAACGTATCCGGTCACTACTGTAGGAAGTAGCTGGTCTACGAGACTAATATATCGATGTAAATACAGATTTTTAATTAATGTACAAAACGAAATTACATGAATAAAGTTATTATTCGTGGCTGTATTATACATAAATTGATATTGTACACAAGTAGGTAGTTCACAATGTACACTTTCTTTTATAAACATTCCAACATTCTAGCCAACAAATATAACATGGTATAGAATAGTTTTTCTCTATTAAATCGATGAATCGAATGATTATCGGCAGTTAAGTATACATAGTAAATTAAACAAAATTAAAAAACTAACTATCCTTAAAAACGTAAATTTTACAATGTAAATTTGATTCAAATTATAGCTATGTAAAAAAAAACGGTTAAAATCCAGATACTATGCGTCCTTTTTTTGTCGCCTTTTTCAATTTATTCTGTTTCTTCTCCTTCTTCTTCTTCATAATATTTTCTCGTCGTTTTTCTTGCCTTTCCTGCATAGATTTCTGTACGTTCTCTATCCTGGAATTCCATTTCTTTGCGCTGTGTTTCTTTTTCTGCTCGTTTCGTTTTATAGTACGTTTCAGCAACTCGGGATCGTCTTTAATCTGTTAAATAAGTATAATATAAATATGAATTAAAGACATAGAACAAATTTATATGTAAAGGACAAATAATATAATGACAAATTCATAATATATAATATAAAGAAATTAGCTGATGCAAAATATAAAAAATTTATAAGAAATATGTAACATAAAAAATTTATAAGAAAT